TACTTGTCCCTATCAAATAAACGACAAAAATAAATAAATAAATAGAGAGGCACGAGTCTGGAGGCTCCGTGTCCTTGAGAAATAGCAGCTGCGCGCGCGAGGCGGCGGCTGCACGCGGGGCTGCAGCATTAAAGAAAAAGAAAAAAAGAAAAACCCCGGGAGATCCTCACCTTGTTGAACTTGGTGCTGGATCTTGGCCGGCATGTCCACGGTGGAGATGTGGGCCAGGGGGTTCAGTTTGGACAGGGCGGGAAGCATTCCTCCACGGAAATCCACGGAAAAGAAAGAGAAATCCGCCTTCGGGTTGGGTTGGTAGTCCGACTCCCCCCACCGTCGTCTCCGCGAGCCCACGTTGCACGAGGTTAAAAAAATGCGGCAGGGATCCTTTCATCCAGAGACAAGACAATCCGCGTGCGGTCCGGGGAAACGTAAAAGCCCAAAAATGGTCGTAAACGGGTCGCTTTTTTTGTTGTTGTTTCTTTTAGAAAAAATAAATATATCTCGAACCTCCGCCGTTATATTTGTAAACAGAAGAGTAACGTCGGCTATATACACGGAAAACAAAGCGAGTAAAACGACCAACGCCTCAGACACCGGCTCCTGGAAACAAGGAGCTGGGGGTAGGACGGTTATAAGGCGAATTGCGAGTGCGTCACGCTGCGTGATGACGTACGGAGAGAGCCCGCCCACTTCCGGCCTCTGAGCCAATGGGAGCGAAGACGGGGATTCCAAACTAGCGTCAATCACAGAGCGGGCGGAGAGACGAGAATCCTAACCGACCAGACGGACGGACGTGGCGGGAATCAAAACGCGCCAAAAAGGGGGTTGACTAAAGCCTCATTATGAATTCCTGGTGGAGGGATCAGACGAAACCAAAGACAAATACTCGTCTCCCTATTTCACTTGAGGAGGACTCTAGCAAAACCGAAGAAAAATACACAACAAAACAAAACAAAACAAAAAGCAAAACTGTTACTACTTTTACTTTACAAATGTCTGCAGCTTTTCATATCTTTCCCATTAACTTATAACCTTCCTGTTTAGTTTTTAAAAGTATTTAAAGCATTTTCACCAAAGACAAATACTCTTCTCCTTATTTCACTTGAGGATGACTCGAACAAAAACCTAAGAAAAAAACAAAACATAAAAACAAAACAAAAAGCAAAACAGTTACTACTTTTACTTTACAAATGTCTGCAGCTTTTTATATCTTTCCCCTTGACATATAACCTTCCTGGTTAGTTTAAAAAAGTATTTAAAGTATTTTCTGCTTGCATTTCTGCAGCATTTAAACGTTTTGTAGTTGAATTAAGTCCTTATTTTAGACCTATATACATACATATAGTTACTTATGTATATTTGTTTGTTTATATTTCTGTGTGGAACTTTGTATATGCATATATGTATAGACATGTATATATGCTGTTGTTTTATGTATGGAGTTAGTAACAAAAATTACTTCCTTATGGGATTATTAGAGTATTTCCTGATCTGATTCTGATTTAAAAAGACAATAAAAAAAGGTCAGCTTCTGCAAACAAACACTGAAATACTCCAGGGGAGTTTATTAATCCCACCTGTTCTGCCCACTCGGCCTTTACCTGATTGTTTTCGCATTGACTGAAGCTTTTCTGGGAGTCTGGGACCGGGTTTTGTGTGACAATGCCCCTCAAGTGGCTGCGCATCAAAGCGTCTCTGGGGGAGAAACAGCCGCATTCCGCTCATTCTTTCAAATTGGGTGGCCCGTTCACAGCCCTTCACAGGATGTGGGAAACTGGAGATAAGAAGACTTCCATTCACCCCCACCTCTCCCTCCCTCCCTCGTGCTCCTCCTCCTCTCTCCGCCCTCCTTTTCCCGCGCATGTCATTGTCCGAATGGCACGCTGTCTCCACCCCCCCCCCTCCACCCTCCAAACTAAGTTTTGTTTTCCCTTGAAATTACACGTCACGTGATGCATATCCTTTAAAAAACGCGCACAAAATTAAACGCTCCGCAGGAAAAAAAGTCTTTGCTTTGTTTTTAGTTGCTTTTCCGTGCAGAATGGAGCTTTTATTATTCGTTTTGCACCACTTTTGCCCAAAAAACAGAGTCCCCTGGTCCTCGAAAGCAGTGTTTTTCAACCTTTTTTGAGCCAAGGTACATTTTTTCATTGAAAAAATCCCGAGGCACACCACCAACCAAAAATGTCAAACAAATCTGTAGCCGCCGATAGTAACACTGTAGTTATTCTTATCTTATCAAGTAATCGACATTTCGTTGTCAAGATTCACCTTGTGTTTTTTGTACAATGACAATAAAGGAAGTCGAAGTCGAAGTCTAAGTCTTAAGTGTCAATCAAATAAACACAAAAATGTAGTTTTATCATATTTTATATTTCTTCTTTCAAATTGCACTTAACATGTCCACTTCAATATGCAAAATTATATACAAAATCATAAGGAATTATATCATTATTACGCCACCAGTCACTAGAACAGCACAGACACTCAAAAATGACATATTATTTGCAGATAATTAATTCCTTATCAAAAAATCTTTTTAGACCAATTAGGTGAAATAGGAGGATTTTCTACGGCACACCTGACCATCACTCAGTGGTTGAAAAACACTGCACTAAATGCCGTGCATGAGAGGCATGGGGGGGGGGGGGGGGGGTGTTAATGTTGATACTTGTGTTTGGGACGCCCTGGGCAAATTCCTCCACCACTCCTTGAGCGTTTGAGTGGAGATCAATATGCAAATCCGGGGCCCGGTTGCGTAATTCCCGGCAGAAGAAAAGAAGAAAATGCTTCCTTCCGCGTGTGAGAAAGTTACGACATTCCCGAATACCTGCCCGGGCCTCCTGACGTGGATCTGCTTTGCATAAATGCGTGTTTTTCTGCAACTGTGGACGTTCTTTCTGTTTCTTCTCACAGCGTGGAGCCCCGAGACAAAAGGCGAAAAGGCTTGCTGTTTCCGGATTTAAATTCGGGATGAATTTAAAGCTCCAAAGAGCTCAGGCTGATTGAATTCTTTTCTCAAACGGCCTCCCGATGTTTCGGGCTTAATTCGTCTCTCCGTAGGATTGATATTTATCTCTGTTTCTCCCTTTTTTGTGTCATTCTAATTACAACTAATTAGAACCTTCTCGCTTATGTATTCGTTGTGTTTGTTTATTATCTGGCTGCTCGTTACTGTGAGCACAGTTTGGATGCTTTTCCTTGTTTAGGGATTAGTCCTGGAGGCTT